ATGTTCTTGTGTTTCAGGTTCCAGTGGAGTGGATGATGCTCATGTGTTCATCAGTTCTGGTGAAGATGTCCGTCTGCCCTGTGATAATGCTCTTCCTGACTGCAAATCAACTACATGGAACTATAACGGATTAAGAGATTCAGCAGTAGTTGAACTGATTAATTTAGGGATAAAGAAGAAAGACACAGAGAGTCATGAGAGACTGAGTCTGGGGTCTGACTGCTCTCTGAACATCAACAACATCTCAAAAGAAGATTATGGATCTTACACCTGCCAACAATGGACAGAAGTGAAAGGAGAACACCAACAACAAGGAAATGATGCAACAAGCTCATCAATCAGTTTTAGAGCCTCATGATGTCAGTAACATTAAGGACTTTTAGTGTCACTGAAGCAGATCAAACCGAGGAACAAAAGCTTCTTTCAGTCTAACAGAAGAAACTCAAAGCACTGCTGTAAACTAATGAACTGCAGTCGAGTTTAACAGTCCAAAAACTGCTGCTGGGAATAATGAAGAAATTGAGACGTAACAGCTTTTTTAGCAATTTTAACTTTTTATGTAATGTGATGATCACAATTAAAATATGATTGTCATATTCTACAGTTTGATACATCTGAACTATCATTGATCATTGATCATTACAGCTCAAACTAAAACAGCGACAGCAGTGATTCCAGTCCACAGCACAAACTCTCAGGATCCCTCGACTACAAACACACACGTAACTAAAGGTACATCATCAGTGTCTTCCTCACATCAGTGCTTTGCAGTGCATAATCCTAAAGTTATATTAAATAACTCGACTAGAGTTAACCAAATAAAATCTGATTGTCATATTCTACATGATGCATCTGAACTAACATTCATCTTTTACAGCTCAAGCTGATTCACCGGCAGAAGTAACTTCTACTCAAGGTACAGTCAAATGAACTTTCTCTGTTGTTTTACTTAATCCTCTTGTGTCCAGATTAACAGATGCATGTAATCACTTAAATTAAAAGAGTAGTTTCAATAAAATAAAGTGATGAAAATTTGAGTCTGTGGAATTCAGGATTAAATTATTGTGCAGCGATTTGTGCAAATACAGACATGTTTGTGAATAAAAATGTTCTATTCTGCATTAATATATCATAAATTGGTTTACAGTGAATTTATAACAGCTAAGGGGTGTTGTTATCCCATCGTGTACACGTTATAATGAATTGCACTGGGCCTTGTTTGTTGGTAGTTGTGTGTGTGGGACGTGAAATGCTGTAAACTGCGAAAATGAAGTCTCAAAATCCAAATGAATCGAACAAGATCGACTCGAACTAGACGTCAATTAATGCACGTCTGTCACCTGATTCACATATGCACAGATTCCTTTTTGCATGAGCAATTTATGATATA